ATATTAATTCTCTAGTGGAATGAATTAATATTTACAGGCCAAATTGTGTTCTGGGCAGAACATAAGAATTTGGGCCTGTAGGGGAGCCCAAACCCTATACCTTCTAAGAGATCCCTAGTCTGGCCCAAGGACTCTATAAAAGGAGGGATAAGCACACGTTCTTGAACCCTAAGAGATCAGTTCACGTCTTCAGCCACCACACCAACGTGAGAGAAGGAAGAAGGAAACGTGAGGGGTTCAGAGAAGAACAAAGGCAATCCGCTCCTTTCAACCGTTTGGAAGATCGTCATCCATCCGGCGTCCAAACGTGGTCGGGACACAGACTAGAAGATCGCTCAGATCGAATTAAAGCCTTGAAGAAAGGTATATCTCTGTTCGTCCTTTAGGAGCATGCTTAGGTTTATTAGAAATCATGTATGTACATGTTTGGTATCCGATATCGATCCGTGGGTAGGACCGCCTCGTCGGCGTGTTCCAGCAATAGTCATGACCAAAACCGGTTACGGGTCAAAACCCGTCAATCCCGGGCCGAGAGTTGGAGGGTCCTGAACTGGCGCGAACATATGCACTGGCTGGTTCATTGAAATGTCGATTCATGGCCGTCTGGTCCATTAAAAACATAAAAAAGAATTAAAAAATGATTTTTTTTGAAATAACCACCGGTTTCGGTTCTAGTTCCAAACCGAAACTTCTAGTTGAAAATGTATAGACTATAAAGTATTGTACATGAGCCGAACTGGTTAAAACCACGGGCCGTTTAAGACCCATGGTCAACGAGCCGGTTTGTGTCGGTTCGGGCCGAACCGTCAGGCTGGGTCGACCCATGACCATGTCTACTCAGTTCCAATAATATCTACAATAATATACAGTACGGGATTAAAAAATTTTCTGGCTACGCCCCTGGATGTTTTAACATCAATCCATTCATACTAAAAAAAAAAGGAAAAAAAAAAATTCCAAGTCCACCCAAAATGCTTAGGGCTTGATTGTTTATGAAATAATTTGTTCAAATTGAGTTATTTTGGTTAATCATAGTTAATTTTAAAAAAGATAGTATGGTTAGTTGTAGTGAAATTTTAAAAATGTATTAAGATTATATTTAGAATAAAATGATTAAAATTGATTTGATGTAAAACTAAGAGATAAATGATTAGAAATGATAGGTAGTTAAAATTATGTAAGTAGATGAATAATGAATTAAAGTTGATGTGATGTGTAAGAATGATTGGTTTGTATTATTTAATTATGTAATTAATGTAAGAAACTGGTCACTAACATGAAGCGCACCATTAGAGAGAAAAAACCCATATGAAGCCCAAGTGGAGTTTCATCCCAAAACCAGGAGTAGCCCATTAGACTTATAAGGTGAGTCTATTTTTCATGTATGAAAAATGTGGGATAACTTGTATGAAGCCCAAGTGGGGTTCCATCCCAAAATCAATTGGTGGAAGGAGGAGTAACCCATTAGACTTATAAGGTGAGTCTATTTTCCATGTATGAACGATGTGGGACAACTCACAAGTGATATTCTAATAATTAATACTATTAAAGATAGTTGAATTGAGTTGAAGTTGAATTAGATTTTGAGTTGAAATAAAAATTATTATTTTGAGTTGAAATAAAAGTGAGTAAATTATTTTGTATACAACCAACCCCTTAATTTTGTGGGATAAGCATGGGATGAGTTCAACTTGAATTCAGTACAGGCATTTATGTGAATTGCTGCGTCTGACTGAGACAGACTAGAGTAACCATTAAACGGGCCGGCGGGTGGACTTCTTTTGGCCGGGCCGAGGATTTATGTGCGCATACCGAGATTTTGAGGAGCCTTGATTGAAGTGCCCATTTAATTCCCATTAATTTTCTTATTTGAAAAGAGTATTGAATCATGTAATGCTGAGAGCATGACCTGTCAATACATGTCATGCAAGTGACATCAAACACAAACGCCATAATAATGTACCTCTTCTCTTTTCAGTTTATATATATAAGTACACTATATTTACATCTACCTTCGACACAAACTTTCATCTACTTTAATACCGACAACTACGATGTTCTCCAAAGATGATGCTCGCACCATAGTTGGTATTATAGGTAAAGCTGTGTTGATTTAAAAATGTAGTCTATTGAGGTTAATTATATAGTCATCAAAATAATCTATTCTTTGCTCTTCTTGTTAATTTTTATTTTTTTATTTTTTTTTATTTTTATTTTTTCACAGGCAACATCATAGCCCTCGTTCTGTTTTTGTCCCCTGTGTAAGCTTCTAATTCTTGTTAATTAAACTATCAATATTTCTTATATTCCATGAATGATGATGAATTTATAATAATAATTAACAGCCCGACATTCATTGGAATATGGAAGAAAAAATCAGTGGACGAGTACTCGGCTGTACCGTACCTGGCAACCTTGGTAAACTGCGGGCTTTGGGTGCTATACGGACTGCCTATAGTACACCCCCACAGCATGCTGGTGGTGACCATCAACGGCACTGGCTTGCTTATCGAGATTGTCTACATCTCCATTTTCCTCGCCTTCTCCAAGCAGCCGGGGAAGCGCCTGAGGGTGGCCGCTGCTGTGGCGGCCGAGTGTGTGTTCCTTGGAGCGCTGGCCCTTCTCGTCCTCACCCTCACACACTCCACCAGCACCCGCTCTCACATAATCGGCACCCTCTCTATGGTCGCCAACATCATCATGTACGCCTCCCCGTTATCCATAATGGTAAATTAAACGCTTTGTGTTTCTTACGTCGTTATTTCGATATGTACCACGCACATTTTATATTTATGTAAATAATGATCACTAATATTCACTATATATCTGTCTTTGATTAATGGCTCATCATATTCAGAAGCTGGTGATCACCACAAAAAGCGTTGAGTACATGCCATTTTTCCTTTCCCTCTTCTCTTTCCTTAATGGAATTAGTTGGACGGCTTATGCGCTCATCAGATTCGATATTTTCTTGGTGGTAAGTTTATGTTCCGCAGTTTGACTAGTTAGAAGAACTAAACACATATTTTAGACAAAATTTTCACCATAATTATATATTTGCTAAGTTATGGTATATGCATGTTAGGGTAGTGTGTGAGAAACTCTTGACAAATAAATTTTGATATTAAAAAAAAAAAAAGTCACTTATTTATTTATATTGCATCCTAAAAAGTATAGAACGCTATTGTTTTATACCATACCTGATTTGAAATTTAATGTGTCAGCATTTGTATTATATTGTTTAAAGTAGAATATGAAATATGTTTGTCTTACAAAATTACACAACAAAAACAAAGGTTGTGGTATTAGAAAGAACTTTGATGAAAGTTGTATTTCATGATGTAATAAAATATTTTAGTACATTATCATATAATAATTTATATGATTATCCAGTAATCATATAATAATAACATTTTAATTAAGTACTTTTAATATTTTAAATATACCTGTTTTATGTTGTCTAGTATAGTTTATTAGACATAATAATTC